GCCCCAAGTACTCCTGTTCTTTTTGTGGATACAAACTAACACGACTGCTACTCTGAAACTTTACAAAACTAGTTACCTAGTTAGACCATTCCCTGCCCCAAAGATCATGCAAACTAGTGTTTACAGAAAAATAGTACAGTTCACCCACATAAAAACTGAGATCACCAGTGGTGTCAGTCTGCGGGGGAAATGAGAGAGGAAGCACTAGGATGCCAGTGAAGGCAGTCAAAGGCAGTCTTTCCCGTTAGGAGGTTGTCTTTTCATGCAGTTAACTATGTTCATTTAGGACAGAGGTGGGCAAACTATGGCCTGTGGGCCACATCCAGCCCACGGGATCCTCTTGCCTGGCCCCTGAGCTCCTGGCCCGGGAGGCTAGCCCCCGGCCCCTCCCCTGCTGTTCCCCCACCCCCGCAGCCTCAGCTCACTGCGCCACCGGCGCAATGCTGTGGGCGGCGGGGCTGCAGAGCCACGGCTTGACCCGGTGCTCTGTGCTGCACGGTGGCGGGGCTGGCTCCAGCCAGGTGGCGCGGCTGCCTGTCCTGGAGCTCTGGGTGGAACAGTTGTAGCGCCACCAGCCACCGTGTTCCAGGCAGGGAGCGGGGGGGGGGGGAAGGGTGTTGGATAGAGGGCAGGGGAGTTCGGGGTGGTGCTCAGGGGACGGGGGTGTGGATGGGGGCGGAGCGGTCAGTGGAGATCAGAGCATACAGGAAAAGCAGGAGTGATGGATACAGCTTTCTCTAGAGCTGAGACTGGAGTGAAGAGGGAATTGTGTGTATTGATGCAGGCCTCAGGCTATGAGGACATCAATTGGACCCTCTACCCACCAACCTCACAGGAGCCTGCCTTGCAGCAGTTCTAACCTAAATTCCCCAACCAGCCCTCCTGGATGCCAGGTGGAAGGTGAAAAAGCCCACACAGCAATGTGCCAGTTTTGTCATATGGGCAAAATCCCTTTCAGAACCCCAAACTGGTGATAAACCAAGCTCCTGGCACCCCTGAGATCCAGCAACTAGATTAAGGGTGGGAAGGATGTGGCTGAAAGGAGTCCACAAAGTGTATAAATTCCCCTCCCCCCCTGCCCAAGCAAGGAACAGACAGAAGCCAATCGCCTGGTCACAGCACCACCCCAACTGTCCATTGGCAACAGCAGTGGACACAACAGGGCCAGATGCAGCATGTGGTCCCCTGCTGTTGTCCCCTAAGCCTTGCACCATGGGGTGGGAAGAGAGAAATAGCCATCCCCACACAGTGAAGGCAGGGAGGAGAGGGGAGAAAAGGAATGGGCATGTGGCATACTGCCTCAGCTGTTCCAATTCAGATCTTTTCCTGCCCCAGAAAGAGTCTCCAATGTTCCCACCCCATCAAAGCTGTGCCCCGGCTAGTGGGGGGAGCATTAATTGAACTTTTTGCGGCAATTCCCCCAGTAGCATTTGCTCTGTTGCACGTGTTTAATGATGACCCAAAGTCTGAAACATTTTGTATGAAATTTCTTCTTTGCCATAACTAATGGATTCAGAAAATCAGCTGACGTTGCTTAGCACTGAGGTGTGGTGTTCCATAGATAAACTGAGCCAATATTACTTGTACTGAGCCTTCTTTTACTCTATGGATGAGTGAATTGCAATTGGATTTTTGTATTCTTCTTTTGTGGCTGTTATGGATAATGGTTACAGTACAGCCCAGGTAAGTACGCCTTGGTTAAATTATGAAAAAGACTCTGCTATGCCCCCTCCTCCCCAGGACTGACTAGTGTTTTCTTAATCCTCATGTCACTGGAGAGCTTCTTAAAGGCTGGCTGGCAGCAAAGATGGTGCTTGTCACCATGGTGAAGAGCATGGCATGCTCTAAAATCCTCATTCACTGAAACAGAAATATCCTCAGGTTTCAGGTGCTCCCTCCCCCTCCCCACCCCCCCGAACCAGGAAATGGATCTCTACAATTGCAAGCTTGTGTGTCACATGAAGAGAGAACAATTCTAATCCCTCCTTTCAGTCTGTATCTCTGATCACCCATTGCCCTAGCAGTCAAGAAAAGAGAGAGCACAAATGCATTGCAAAATTGTGTATTATTCCTGTTTTAGTTTCTCAGCAAACTGTTGGAGGGAATGTTCAAAGCTAACATGAGGTGCTAAATATTATTTACTAATAAATGCCAATGTATCTAGCACTTCTGACTCTGAAAGGGCACCAAATATTTGTGTCCTTTCAGAGTCAGAAAAGCCCATTTTTCTCCTCTTCAGTGATTCCCTAATGAGATTGTTGTTCGGCATTTGTCATCAGATTTCCTTTGGCAGCAAACTGGTGTCTCACAGGCTCCATAAAACCCAGCAGAAATGGGGGAGGTAGGTTGCTGTTAGGGATCTCTCAGATTTACCTCCAGAATGAAAACTCTTCAGTACGGTGTCTGAAGTGGATCTCTGGGCTTCCCCCCCCCCCCCCTTGTGGTCAGGTTTATGCATTTATTTTAATAAGAAATGTAGAGAATGCGAAGATAATTGTAGTGCTGTTAACTTAAGGGAGTGTTGTACAGTAAGAGGCAAAACCCACTGAGTGAAAAGAAGCACAGACTGGGGTACGGTGACCTGAAATGCAAGTGCAAAGGAGAGCAACTTCTTTAGCGAGAGACCGAGAGAGACCATGTCCAGAGCGCTACCACGGATGTGTAGAGCAAAACACAAGCACAGCTAGGGTCATTTGAATCGAGAAGCAATTTTAAACTCATTAAAAAGTGAATTAGTAGTATTGTCCATGTTCATTAAAATAATCCACTGTAATGAGATGGAGTGAACTCAGTGTCGGAGCAGTGATGGGTGCGTATAATTCAATAATAAAGGAATGAGTAAGTTTCATGGGCAGTAAATAATCACCAGACCTCATTAGATTGTAGGGAAGAGCTATAACAGTTGATCATAATTAGAAGTTGAACAAGTGTAGGCTTGAGTGTCTTCTGCTGTTATTTGCAACTTGGAATAACCTGTTGGAGGGACTAGTTTGAACAAGTAGTTTCATTGTCTTCAGAGAGAGGATGGTTATTCACTTAGGAGCTATATTATGCCCTAGCTCACTTGCCTCTTGTAACCTTTATCAGAAACTAGCTGTCCTCTATCCCGATGTCTTCTGTTACATGCAGCAACAGAGAAGTACTTTGGCTTGAGGAATCTGCTAAAATGATCAGTGGTGAGGTAGCTAAGATTGAATATATGGTATGATACTTCAGTGCTGACATTTTAAGGTGTCCTCATTAGGATCCAGAGTTAACATTCTATTTAGATGAACAAGTCAGTTAGACATAATTCCTATTTTAAAGGATTTCTTTGCAACCATAAGTGCCACGGACTTAATTTTTTTAATTAAACAATTTGAACATAAGGGGCTAGAAAAAGGAGACTTAGCAAATACAGAGCTTCAGATTATATTCTGTTAAACCAGATTTTCAGAGTATTCCACACACACTGGGTGATGGTGCTGTCTTTTCTCAGCCTCCAAAAAGTGAGGCTCTTTGGATTTGGAAGACTGAGAGATTTGGAAAAATCATAATGTTTTCCTGAGTCGTGGTGATTGGGTTACAGTGCCTGGTTCTGGTAGCTGTCCTGGGTTGATGCTAAACTATATGCCAGCTTCACCAAAGAACTTTTCACTTGCAGTCTGTATTTCTGGTCACCCATTGCCCTAGCAGTCAAGAAAAGAGAGAGCACAAATGTGTTGCAAAATTGTGTATTACACCTCTACCCCGATATAACATGAATTCAGATATAACGCAGTAAAGCAGCGCTCCGGGGGGGGGGGGGGGGGGGGGG